TTCTATTCAGTTCTGCTTCATCCCTGATCAGGAAGGTTTAAGATACATAGGCTTTTGTTGACAGAATGTTAAAATGCAGTCCTCTGCACTTCTAAATGGATTTGAAGTCACACTTGACACCGAAATTAAAGGGAGCCGGAAAAGCCTAAGCCCCTTATATTTCCATTATTTTCTCTGTTGACAAGCAAACTGGGGTTCTTTCATTTTTGTAATTTTTTTTAGTTGTAAAGCTTTTCCCTAACCAGTTACACAACATGTGATTCTGGCCTCAAGCAGCTTTTGTAGCTACCAAACATCAGCTGACTGTGTTTGTGCATCAGCCTCTGCTGCGGTTAGTGTTGCCTGCAGGGACAGTCTAAGCAAGCTCTACCAGAGAGGCAGAAACTGCCTTATACCCATTGTTCCAGCACGCAAAAGGGGTCAGCTGGTCCACCCTTTGGCTCAATGCAGAGTCAGACCAGGGTACTCAGTGCTTTTCCCAGTCATGCTTCACCCACCAAGGATGGGGATCCCACTATGTCTCTGGGCACCCACTTTAGCACAGAACCACTCTCCATTTCAACAATGTTTTCTTCCTTGTCAGAATTTTTTAGCCAAATTTTCTTTGTGATCGTTGCCTCTGATCTTTTGCTTTCACCTCCCTTAAGAGTGCATCTCCATCTTCCCTCCCCACTCCGAAATTAGGTACCTGAAGACAGCAGCTGGGGCTCCCCTAACCCGTAGCCCCCTTCCCCCTAGGCTGAACAAACCCTCAATATCTCTTTGTACATCAAGATGCTGAGAGAAAAACTCGAGTTGTTCACAGACACAAGTCTTGCCTGTTCTACTGAAATAGGTGCATGCCAAGCTAGTTGCAAGGAAAGGATTGTGTGCCAGGGAATATCTTGGCAAGTCAACACACATTAATTTGCCATAGTTGCTACTCAACTGTATAAGCACATTTGGCATTGGCAAAAAGCCTTTCCTGAGCTATATTAAAAGGTGTAGCACACAGAGAGCCTAAGAAATGGCAATGTCATTCTGCTGGGGTGAAAATAATTCCAGTACTTAGGCAATTCCCCTGATTTTGGTATGCTTATCCAACCCTGGCCCTCAGGAAATTTGGCACCATATGCTGTTCTATCACAACTGCCTCGGGCTCGTAGGAAGGCTTTACTCTAGTTCTCATGGATGTTCCTGTCTTTACTAAACAAAACTAGGCCTAGGCTAGGATTACTATCAGTTGTCAGCCTGAAAAGCCATTTTCTATATAAAACAGCGAACTGCCACTTTTTTTGCAACAACCGCTCTTTAAATGTGAAACTGCAGAGTCAGTGAGTTACTGAGTGGCAGGAGAGAATGGACTTTCTTCCCTCAATGGTAGATTTCATTCCCACACAGACCTAAAGAGCAGAGATCCTCCAAATCTGTTCCCTCCTACAGGAGAAGAAGGTTGAGCCTCACTGTGTTTCAGCACTCAGAGGTTGTTCTTATTTATCTCATTTAGAGGAAAGAATCGGTATAACATAACATTTCAGGTTAGATATGAGGAAGAAGTTCTTTACTGTGAGGATGGTGAGGTACTGGAACAGGCTACCCAAAGAAGCGGTGAATGCTCCTTGGCAGTGTTCAAGGCCAGGTTGGACAGAGCCTTGGGCAACATGGTCTAGTGTGAGGTGTTGGAAGGAGGAGGGGGTTGGAACTGGATGATCTTAAGGTCCTTTCCAACCCAAACCATTCTGTGATAATTTGTGGGTTTGCATTCATGAAGGATGGTTTCTTTTTCAGTGTGCCATAATCATAAATTCTTCCATGGAAACTGGAAAATTTTCCTGGAGGTTGCATTGAATGGTTTAAAACAGAAGCCCAGTAATATCACGCATGATACAACCCCCTCCCACATGCCTTGCAAGGACCATTAAATTGTTAAAGCTTCATCAGCCTAAACCCACTTCTCCAGGAATTGTCTTATTTCAGCATAAATAAGGGGCATTCCTAGCCACTTTTCATGTCACCACTGTTTCATGTGGTGAGGTAAAGACTAAGGTGGGAGGACAGGGGAGATCAATAAAGTCTTTTTTTACTCATGGCAAATCCATATCTGTGTTGATGGTGTCAACGCAGTGCAGTGCTCACATTTTCAAACTTCTGCCCTTCTGGTTGAGGAGTCATATATTAACCAAGATAGCAGTTCTGCCAGGAAATAACAAGGATACCATCCATTTCAGCAGTGCTTTTCATCAGATCATTCCTACTTACTTTACAAACAGAATTAAGGAAGCCTCACAACATCCCTGTGAGGTAGGTGGAAATTCTTACACCCATTTTACAGGTGGAGAAAACAGGCACTGAGCGGTAAAGTGATTATCACAGCAAGTCAGAAGCAGAGCTGGAAATAAATCTAAGATTATTATCCTAGGTCCACTGCTCTAGACACTAGAGAATACCAACTCCCACATGCTACCATAAGCTAAGACACTACCTTTCTCTTCTACTTTCACCTCCTTTGGTGATTTTGACACTTGCATCTTATGCTCCCTGCAGAGAACCATGTGGTCAGTTAGTAATTTATTTGAACAGGGAGCCAAGAGGGGGTGCTCACACCTTTACATGGTTCTGGCATGGCTGTAATTGTCCAGTGACTTCCCCCTTCCCAAGGAGATAATTCTCCGTGGTCTTCACACATACAACTTTTTATTTAGTTCTTTTTGAAGTATAATCATACACTAGATCCACAGCTCTGAGGCTGTTTGTTAGGCAACTTCACTAGGAATTTCTTGAATAAATGATTAAATTTGTTTCCTTGAGAGGGAATAAAACACATTTATATACTATCACATCTGGAAATAGCAATAATCCTTTGCTCATCTGTATGGCCTTCCATCCAAGGACCTCCCAGTAAATTACTAACACAATATATTAAGCCTCACATTATCTTTGTGAGGTAGAAAATTATTCCCTATTGTACATGAAGGAAGAATGACTTGCTGACAGTTCCACAGTGATTTCATTGCAGAGATGAGGCTGAATGCCAGAAGACGGGACTCAGTCCCTGCCCAGCTCGCTGAGACGCACTGTCTTGATGCTGTGGCTTTTACTTGGTGGCTACAGATTCACTAGCAGTCTGGCAGGGTGCTTGAAAACTGGCTTGAGAGATAAAAAGCAACAGCAGCTGACTGGATGCAGGAGGAAAACGCTGGTTTGTTTCATTGTGCTGTTCTGACTCAGAGGAGCTTTCCTGAGGCAGCTGTGAAAGAACTACAGAGTGTCCATTGAGTACGCTTTACACAGTGCATTTTACCGAGGCATTCCAGTGAAAAAGAATGACATACTCAACATCTGATGAATAAAAACTGAACCACCTGACAGTTATATTATGAACCATATACTCTATTAAATGAGCACTCATCTTGAAGTAGTCCAGTGATCTAATGAAGGTGTGCATGTCGGAGGTCAGGAACAGGAGTGGTTATTAAAAGACATTGTGTGTAAAAGAACTTTTCAATTAATTAGAAGTCAATAAGGGCATGATTCATCTTGTCCAGTACATTGGTATCTGGAAGGGTCACATGCTCTAAAGGTAGAAGATACCTTACACTGAACCATTACAAGGTTTTGGTTTTTACGCACAGGGAAATGTGTTTCTGGCCCCCTTCAACAAGTGGGCTGGTTCATCCTTAGAACCATTACACCTCTTTTCTGTTTTATCCTTAGAACCGTAAAAACTCTCTCATAACTATCTGTGAACAAAATAAAAATAGATCCCATCCAGTATAAGTGTGGTGATTTTGCTGCTCACCTGAATCTTTGCCCTTTCTTGAATTCTAGCCTCTTGAATTGGGCACAGTGGACTTTCCTACAGAAAAACTTTCTCTTTCCTCAGTTGCCTTTCATTTGTGCTAACTGTTCTCCTGTTTCTGTATTAAGAGGGTAGATATATGCTAGCCTCCAGATTCTCTCTCTGCATGTTCCTTTGCATGTGTTGCTTTATTATATTCCTTCCGAAAACTTTCAGTCTTCCTTCACAAGGAAGGACAACCTAACAGCCTTTGTCCAGGGAGCATAGATTTTGACCTCAGGCTGCAAACCTTGGGAAAATACACAGGCCCAAGAGGAGCAAAAGGATTAATAGTGTAAAAAACAAACATGGCAATACTATGGTGCTGAAGAATTCCAGAGCACCCTACAAACTTTCTACATTTGTACAGCTTACCTCACTCAGCAGTGAAGTTCAGCCACCTCTGTGCTCGTATGGGGCAGCTGCGTAACAAGGCAGGGGTAGTCCACCAAACAGGATAGATCAGTGGGTGGCAGAACTGACTGTATTGGTGGCTGCCCAGGCTGGGACATGAAGCAGCAGGACTGGAGGTGTGAGCCCAAGCCTACCCAGAGCTCTCTCAGACATCCGTTTAACTTCCATGGGCTTCAAGTCAGGCCTCCTACAATGGGAGATGGCAGGGGGTCTTATCTAGCTGATGTTGGGATGAGTTCTATGCATTATGCCAAAGACAGCTTTTTCCCTGACCTGGATTAGAGCCTGCCCTGGGAACAATGGGATGGGCTGCAGTGCAGTGGGAAGAATTTGCTGAGCTGGCAGAGTCTGAGGTTTGCAGAGCAGAGCAGTTGAGAGCGTATACCTGCACTTTTCTGGCATGAGGCTCAATTCTGGGGGACATAGATATTAACCTGAATATTTTGAACACATTGCTGCACTGTCCCAGCCAAAAGGTGCTGCTGAAGTCCTAAAATTAGAAATCCACACATATTTAAACATTTGTAAGCACAAGTCTTTCTGTGTTTTGTAAAAAGATTTTGATGAGGCTCCAAGAGTTCTGTACAGACATGTTGGCATAAAGCGTCTAAATCATCTTTTGAAAGGCCTTGTTTTACTCAAGACTTTGGCATTTAATAGATACGTAGCCCACTGGATGGCTCCTGTCTGTCAAATTAAAAACAAAATATGTCAAAAGACTATTATCATACCAAACTTTTCTAACCTGAACAACCAGTTTTGTAATTAGAGTTTAAAATAGTCACACAGTTACCTAGATCTCTGGTTTAGGTTCACAGGTGCCTTCAGGACTCTGAGATTTGCTGAGTGCCTGTAAGTCTGGGAGCTCCAGGAACTGAGCACATGTCAGGATCATGTCATGAAGGCTTATATTTGGTTTCATGCTCTGGGGCTGTAGCTGTTTCCTATTTTCACAGAGCCTTCCCACGCTTACTTTGCTAAATCAAGATTCAGATCTTTTAAGTCACAAGACTACAAGTAAAAAATATCACTTGAATTTATTCTTTCCAGTGCTCTAAAATAGGCTCGGGGCTGGATGACCCTCTTGGGAACAAATAATCCATCTGTGGGCATCTGCTAAATCCTAGTAGAGAGCTGCTGTTAACCTTGCCCACTGCAATGTCACTTGAAGAGGAGGAATAGTTTTGACAAAGGGAGAATATTTTTACCTCACTCAGATTTGCATTCTCAGAGAAAGTGGAGACATTTTGGCTTTATTTTCTGAATAGAGAGGGGAAATAGTGCTTACGAGTTTACTGCATTGATGCTAAGCACAGAATTCACTTTGTGAATTAAGTAACTGCAATTCCATGCCAACAGCAAATGGGAGATCTGCTCAGCATGCCATAGGTGGAAACAGAAAAAGAAATACTAGATAAACTTTGTGATGAGTCTTCCCCTTCACTGGCCAAACAGAAATGTGGAACACAAAGCTTCCAGTAAATCCATTCACAGTAGTGACATTTGGGTTTCACTGCCACGTTGGGTTTTAAAAGACATCAGTTATGCGTACAGCATAGGTATTCCTGTAAGGAGTGGGCTAGCATGTGGAAACAGGGAAAATGTCCCTTCTCAAATGGACATACAGGGCAAATAAGGCACAGTTACCATGATCGTACCTTTCCAGTTGAGAATCTCAAGAGGAAATAATATTCAAATGGCCATTTTAGCACTTCGCTTAAAAAATACCTTTTGATTCTTTATCTCTCATTTTCTTTTCAACCTATTCATTTTCATGTGCTCCTCATATCCTGCACCTTCATACAGTCAAATCATCTGACCTGGCCCGGCTGCTGGCTTTACTTAGCCTGCTGAGGGGTCTCATATCAGTGGCAAGCTCAGTAGGTGCCGAAGGCCCTTCCACTTCATCGCTCACCACCTCCTCTTCTGCTTTCTTCACCCCTGGCTCTTCCTGAGGTTCTGGCTGCTCCTCTTCTTCTGCCTCCTCTTCTGCTCTTACCTTCTCCTCTTCCGGCTCCTTAGCTTGTGCATACGATGGTAACCTCTCATCAAATGCCCTGGCAAGATCTTCTAATGGTCCCATCCCAATCTTCTCCTCAAACTCATTGAAGGCTGATGGAAGGGGGCTGGGCTCCACCCCTACTTCTGTGAGAGGAAAATAGTGGGACACCGGTTTCTCTTCTTCCAGCAGCTTGTAGCCTTTGGTCTTTGGGATGGAGGATACTGTGATGGCATGAAGGGGCTTCTCTGGGACTTCCCCCAGCTGTTCCTCTGCTGGTCTTCTCAGAGCCTTCCGGATCCTTTTCAGGATTAAGTGACTGATCTCCACCAGGTTGAGGAAGAGGGACACAGAAGCCACTGCCAGCATGAACATAATAAAGATGGTCTTCTCCGTGGGCCTGGAGACAAAGCAGTCCACAAGATTGGGACAGGGCCACCGCCCACAGCGGTAGAGTGGAAGAATTCGGAAGCCATACAGGAAGTATTGACCCACTATGAATCCCACCTCAAAGAGGGTTTTGAAAATGATATGGAAGATGTAGGTTCTCAGGAGGGTACCTTCCAGGCGAAACTTCTTGGTCCCATTAGGATTGTTGCCTTTGTTTTGATTTGGAGCCAGGGGCAGCTTCTCTTCATCCACCTCAGCTTGCTGACGTCTCTCAGCTTCCTCCTTCTCTCTTCTCTTCTCCTCCATGCGGACATGGTGCACCGCATGGCCAAAGTACATTAGCGAAGGCGTGGATACAAAAATGATCTGCAGAACCCAGAGCCGGATGTGAGAGATGGGGAAGGCTTCATCATAGCAGACATTCTCACAACCAGGTTGCTGGGTGTTGCACACAAAGTCTGACTGTTCGTCTCCCCACACTAGCTCAGCGGCTGTTCCCAGGATCAGGATGCGGAAAATGAAGAGCACTGTGAGCCAAACTCTCCCGATGACAGTGGATTGCTCATTCACCTGCTCTAAAATGTTCCCCAAGAAACTCCAGTCACCCATTTCTTACCGTCTAAGGAAAGAAAAAAGAAAGAGAATGACCACAAATTATGCTAAATTTTAGCTTTCAAGTTTTCCCACTAATGCCTTTTGTTGCTTTCAACCAGTAAGTATTTCCCTAATACGCTTTGAGAAAAGAAAGAAGGTTGCTTGCTTGCTTATTTGCCTGATCACAATGATTCGTTTAGAAGAAGAGCTAGGAAGCCAGAGCAAACTGCTTGCTATAGTCGTTCTTCCCTGGCAATTACTTTTCAGCCAGGGAGTATATTTATCTCCTTTTCAAAGTAAGAAACTTCTGCTGTGCCTCATAAACTCAGTTGCATGAGCCTGCTTAGATTTCGTACACGTACAAACACGTGCCAGCAGTACAGTAGAACAGATTTATCAACATGCAGCTGCAGTGGTTTGGAGAGTGAAGCTTTCAAGCACTCAAGCTCTTCTTGTGCCAGAACCACACACAAGTCAAACAGATCTGAAATCAGTGCCCATGTTGCACCTACACAAACCTGAATTCTCTCTAGGTTGCATATATTAATTCTACATAAGAAATCACTCTGTTAGGTAAACACAACATCACTGCTGTGTTAGTAACAATATACAAGCTTAGTAACTACCTAAGTATTCTATGATTCTATACATATGCTATTTTACTGTATAGTATGTGTTATATTCAATACGATCATTTGGTGTTACCGGGGCTGTTCTTTGTATCATATTCTGAAGTCAGTTGCCACACTGACATTGGAACAAACATGGAGAAAAACATAAAGGTCTGTAACTGTGACCTAAAATACTATTTTCTCCCTCTAAAAAGCCGGTGCTGCTATCTCAGACTAACACAGAGGTGGAAGCCAGCTGCAGACATCCTATTGGAAAGCTAAGAAAGTAGTCCATTTACAAGTAATGCAAGTCAGACATTACATCTGTCATTTTTGCATGATAATAAATTATTCCTAGGCTAGGACTTGACCCAGCATATCCTAAACTTCCCACTATATAATTTTAGGCAAGGGAAAAATCTATGAGTGAGTGAAATAAAGAATAAACTTCTTTGGGACGGGCTGATTTAACACAACACGGCTGTCTGAATCTCTGAGGAATGCTGAATATTACAGCGATCCAAAAAAAACTGAACTGTGGACCATGACAAGTGAAACAGGGAACATTTTCCATAAAATAGCTGTTCACAGGGGTTTAGAAGTTCATCTCGTAGATAACTATCTCCATTTATAGTTTCCTATATGCAGATACACATATACAAGTGCTGGGTAAAAGAAGGTACAGTCAACAAGATGGAAATCTGAGTATCTAAACTTCCCTCCTCTCTCAAATACCACTGGGATATATTTGTAATGCCATATGCTACAACACACCAACGCATCCCAGTCTGTTTCAACTACCGTGTGTACATATTCACACATAGATAAACACACAAAATATTGAGAGTTCTATGGCTCTGGGGAATCTCACAGATTTTCAACCAAAGAAATCCTTCTGATGTCATTGTTCTAAAACAAGATGGACTCATTTGCCTTGCTTTCAGACCTTGCAAAATTTTAACCCCAGACACCCATGTCAGAAAACAAAGAACAGAACACACTTCTTCAGCTTGCACAAACACCTTGCATGTGTAAGCAGCAAACATAATTTAATCACCGAAGAAAATTGCTACTTTCTCAGTCATTAAAGTTGTGTAGAAGAGTGTGTTAATGTCAGCACTTACATTAACAAGTCTAGCAGAAGATTATGCTGTTTACATACATTAACTAAACTGATTTAAACATTCCCTTTCTGTAAATTCACAGAGCAAAGCACACCCAACAGTTACCGATCATGTGCAACTCTAAAAAAACATGACTACACACAGTACCAACCTCATTGTCCCTCAGGCACTGAAGTTAACTCCATCCCTTTCTTTGTGAGTCATGCTGATATCTGCAGCTAGCATTTGAACATTTACACTGCAACGCACAAGAGCAACATTCTAGATGTGATAAACCTTATCATACGGAAAACTCACTGTACAAGAGAAGGAAAACTACTTCCTAACTTCATCAAATGTCTCACTTGCAGGTTGGTACATTTGGCTAAACGCCTCCTGAGATCACTTCCGAACTAGTCACGTTTTTCATAACTCTGCCATGCCCATCCTCTCATTTTTCTGCCAGTGAAGTGGTTCAAAGCTGCTCAATCAGTTCAACTACAAGCAACAACTTTGGGCAGACTGCAGATGCACAACCAGTTCAAATGCCTTGGGTTCCACCTGTAAGCAGTCAGCCCTTCAAGTCCCAGAAAAAGTTGAAAGTGATGAATGTAGGCAGTCACCTTTTTGTTTAAATCGTCTATCACAAGGAGACTGCCTAAGCCTACTTGGAGTCAACAGACTCGTGTTCTTAACTCACATGGGTTTGTTGTAAACCCCCACCCTGCACTTCCAGATGTTGCAACCTGAGCGCACCACCACCAGCTAAAAAGACTGTATAGGTTAAGGACGTTGAGCAAGCAACTTGCCGCTGTGAAAGGCTCCACCGAAGAAGTGTGTCCCCCTCCTCTCTTGGCACTCTGCTGGGAAGAGTGAAATTTTGTCTCTCTTCTTCCCTACCCTAAAAGTCCCAATCTTGTCGCACGACTGAGCAGATATGACTGAATTGGCTCTGATGGCGGGTTTTAGTTGCCCTGCAATATTTAAGCTCTGAGCCAGACGGCTTTATAAAGTGAGTGACAGTTAGTGACATGGGGAACAATAGGGAGAAAAAAAATAGAGAAAGAGAGGCAGAGATAGAGAGAGGAGAATCCACTGAACATGAAAAACCAGAGTAGGGAGAGGAACAGGAGAAAGGCAGTGAAAACCTAATACATGCCTAAACGGGAGTTTGCACAGTTAAGCAGGAACCTAAGCATCTCGGCAACTCTGCTATGATTCAACACAGCTCTGTGTGTGTCCCCACTCACTAATCTTTAGGTGTTGTGGTGTGACAAGTGACACGGGAGTGCCAACTTCTCTGTTGTGGCAGAACTAATTGAATTATTTTGTACCCTACACCCAGCTCTGACAGGTAAGTCATATTGCTGATTTCCAGCACAGGTAGTCACTGAGGTAGCTGTAGTTGGCATTGTCATACACACTGAAGTGCCCTTTAACATCTTTTACCTGGAAAAAGAAGTAGTATTGGAAAATTAGATCATCAGTCATGGTTAATCAAGCTGAGAAATACCAATTTTACAACCTTGCCTTTCAGTGTCTTGGTTCTGCTGAGTTTTTCTTCCAATTGCATTTTCCACATGCACAGGCATCCAAAATGGCTAAAACAAACTGTTTTGTTAAGGAACACAGGCAAATTCCAGCAGCTCAGCAAACAAGAATGTTACCCAAGGCACACTCACCTACCCCCAACCATCTGCAGAAATGCTGCAGAGCCCAACAGAAGAGAGAATTCACAAGCTCAGTAATGCATCCATAGGTACAACTAACTGCCTTGTGAGTTTTGATTATAAGCCAAAGGTTATAGCTTTACTCTGAGGTGTTATTTTTGTAGTCTTTCTGTATGAATTGCTCAGAATGTGCTCTTGGTGCTCAGCTCTGAAGAAAAGGAGGGTAACTGGAAGCAAGATCTGCTAAGCAATGATATAGATACTGGGCCCATAACATCATAAAGAAGCAAGTAGCTCTCCTCTCTCTTCATGCAGATTTAACAGTGAATTTTATTTCCTTGAATGGCACTGGGAGATGCTCTCTCTCAAGAGAAGCTGTCATTTGAATGGGACATTTTGTGAGGGCCACAAAGTTGTGTATCTTCAAACCAATAAACCTCTCTTCAGTGTTTCTGGCATTTATGCCCGTGTAAGTTCAGAGCCTCATTTCAACAGATGTCTTCCCAAACAGCTTTTAAGCAAACTTGCATAGCTCCAAAGTCCAAAGCACAACTGGAAGAAGATATGATGTTTTACAAACTGGATTTCAAAAGAGGTAAAGTATAAGTAAAAGATGGGGAAAAAATCATATTTTGCAAGAGGAACCAGTTTGGAGAACAAAAAAAAAAAATTAATAAAATCAATCTCCATGCATGCAGCTGGAATGAAGGTCATTTCTCAACACCTTAATAAATCATTCTCTTAATAGAGAAGTCATAGAGGTTTATATCTGGCATTTTTCAGGTTGTGCTACATGAAGCATGGGAATAGTCTTCCAGGAGAGAGGACACACAGAGGAGAAGACACAAGTCCCAGGAATATGTAGTGAATAAAAAAAATGCACAGTTTGATCAACAAGAGGAATAAGGACAGTAAGGGAAAGGAATACTTTTGTTGCTTTGTTTTGCTATATGCTACTGAGATAAACTAGGATTAATACATGAGTGACTGGTCTTCAATGCCATCCTCATCTCCTCTCTGGGAAGCAGTAAGAGGGAGGACTAAATGATACTATGAGCAGCTAACACCTTTAAAGAGTGCTTGAAAGCTGGTGCATCACAGAGGCCAGATGGCTCACATGTTAAACTGCCCATCCCTTCTCAGACTAAAACTCACTCTGACTGAACATGCATATTCCTTCTGGGACCTTATCTCTCCAATATAATGAGCCAAAACCCAAATCTGGTATGTAGCTACATGGCTGTAGTCCATCTCTAAATTATATCCAGCTACTGTCAGAGACATTTCCTATTAACCTTTTATCCGCCACTTGCAAACAACTATCCAAATATCAAATATTGTCTGGCAAGTTGCAGAACAGCTTGCAAAATGCAGCTGATGCAGAAATTATATGTGACTAATCATTTGGTATATGGTAGCTTCATCTGAATGATCAGGGTGACTTTCTTTGCTATCAGTAGGGTGCAGAGCCTTTAATATGGGGCACAAAGAGTTTGCTGGACATTTCTGGTTTGGGGAAAACCACAGAGTCCCTTTAACTGGATGCCTTTTAAAAAGGCATCATTGAGTTCTCAAGCTCACTAGCACACACGCACACACACACACACACACACAACGAATATGGCCACAGAAAATCACCTA